GAAGCGTTTTCTCAGCCAGTGGGAAGCGAGTGTAGACCCTGCTGTGTTCTCTTTCCCAGGAGAGCCCGACAGCCCCCCTTACCCTAGGCTCAGGGCCCCGGTGAAGGGAAAGAAACAGAATAAGCGAAGTCCCTGAGCTCAGGGAAAGTGGTGCGGGTTGCACCCAGGGGTCCCGCTGTGAGCATCCAGGACCTGCTCAGAGCATCGGGAGAGTGACCAGTCCTGGCCCTGTCTGCCACCTGCGGTGACCATGTGACCGCTGCCTGTCCGGAGCAGGGTCTCCTGTGCAGATTGGCTTTGCCGGATTTCACCGCATAATCCTAGCAGGTCTGATGCCAGATGTTGGGGGCCCCAAAGTGGGTGCGATCCTGACAGGAAGCTTCTTGAACATCATGCTGGAAGCACGGGTGTGGCTCTTATGTGGCTGTGAGGTACAGCCCGTGGGCTGGTCACCCAGGGTGCCCAGGAGGGCTGGGAACCCCCGACTCCAGGTCTGGCTGCGTCTCAGTCAATGTGACGATTCTTTATTTTTTGTTTTTTCTTTTTGGGTCACACCCACCGATGCTCAGGGGTCACTCCTGGCTCATACACTCAGGAATTACTCCTGGAGGTGCTCGGGGGACCATCTGGGATGCTGGGAATCGAACCCAGCAGGGCCGAGTGCAAGACAAACACCCTACCCACTGTGCTATTGCTCCAGCCGCCGTGGTGATTCTTTTCATTGTGCAATTTTCATCCACAGTGAGAATTTTTTTTTTTTTGAAAAGTTTCTCTTTCGGTCACTTTTCAGATAATTCTAGTGGAAGGGGAGTTTGACACACTTTCTCTGGGCTACCTCCTCTGTTCAGTGACTCATAATTCGCTTTGATCTTCTTCCTCCCTGCTCTGTTGTCTGGGCACCCCACGTATTTCATTATATTCTATCAGCCTCTCCGCCTGGGGGGAGAGAGAGAGACAGAGACAGAGACAGAAAGGGAGCAGAAATGGAGAGAGGTGTGCTACGGAGCCCTTCTGGCTTTTTGGGTGATAGTTGACTCTTGAAAAATTCTCTCAGCCCCCTGTTTTCTAAGAACTTGTCACTGCATAATTGGATGGTGGAATCTATTGTAGGGGAAGAAAAGGAGACACAGTGAATACAATACCCACTGCGGTTGATGTTGCCTCCAATGGATTATGCTTTGGAGCTGTGTATAAATATATCTCGAGCGTGCACAGTCTGTCGCAGTGGGCTGAGTTGGTTTGTGGAAGCGGGAGTGGCCCCCAGCAGCATGCTAGGACCCCTGAGGTGGCAGCCTATACAACAGAGGCCCACGCACACACACACACACATACCCTTCGAGCTCTCTTCGGGCCCCTGGGATAGATTTCATTTCATTTTCTATTTTGTGCAAAATAATTGTGATTTTTTTTTCCCCAATACGTTCACCCAAGATAAAGTGCCGCATCCCGTTATAAGGTGGGAGATCGTTCCCCCAACAAAAACCCAGCCCAAGGTCGGGATGGTGGAACCTAGCTGAACAAAGCGAAACAACGTTGTTCTCAGAATCTAAATGAGAGGCAAAAATGCACCCAGGAAGGACTTGAATAAAGCGATTGAGGGTCTTCTAGATGTCGTAGGCTGCATGGGCAAAGTTAGAATGAGAAACTGTCACACCTGGGCTGGCCCAACCTCTGCCCTCTGGTGCCCACTGGGTTTTTTTTTTTAATTTATTGAATCACTGTGGGAAAGGTTACAAAGCTTTCAGGTTTAGGTCTCAGTCATGCAAATATCAAACACATTTCCCTTTACCAATACTTATTTTTTACCATGAAGAACCCCAATAAAACCCCACCCCCACCCCTCCCAGTCCCTGTGAGGCAGATGAATTCTAGTTAACACTCTATCTGCTTTGATTTGATTCATTGTTTCAATAAAAGATTCACCACTATTATTTAGAGTTTACCCCCCCCCCCCCAAATCAGACATGCTGAAAAAGCATTGTGAAGTGATTTGCTTTCTACAGCTGGGTTCAAAAATTAAATGTTGGCTTTGGATTTCTGCTATTTTACTCATTGACCCTGGAAGTATTTCTACTGAAAGTCAGATAGTTAAGAAATTGGTTTCTGTGTTCTGGAGTCGTGGCCGTGCTGGAGAGCCGCTAGTGGGGGGCAACTGGTAGCCTCGGTAGGGCGTGAAGGGCGGAGCGAAACGCCCCCCTTCCCATGAGGTTTTAGTCGCCCCCACACTCCCGGCTCATACCTGCTGTCCACAAGGCTCCCATGTGGCCGCCATCTTTCTTTCCAGAGAGGAGAGGGCGAATGGGGCAACACCCTTTCCCCTCCGGCAGACTTGATGGCCTGGATTAACACATAGTCCGTTCACTTTTCTGCTCCAAGCTGCCGGGTTCTGCATTAAGTCCTTGTGCTTCTGGGGCCGTGGCTGTGCTGGAAAGCCGCTCGCGGGGGGGGGGCAACTGGTGGCCTCGGTAGGGCGTGAAGGACGGACCAGAACGCCCCTCTTCCCATGAGGTTTTAGTCGCTCCCACACCCCCGGCTCATACCTGCTGTCCACAAGGCTCCCATGCAGCCGCCATCCTTCTTTCCAGAGAGGAGAGGGCGAATGGGGCAACACCCTTTCCCCTCTGGACTGACATGATGGCCTGGATTAACGCATAGTCCTTTCACTTTTCTGCTCCAAGCTGCTGGGTTCTGCATTAAGTCCTTGTGTTTCTAGGGCTGTGGCCGTGCTCCAAACTTAACTCTGATTTTCAGGGAGAAACGTTGGGTGGTTTACTTCCCATTGATCACTTTGTATATAGAGAGAGGTTTGATAGCATATAGAGAGAACGCTTATGCGGCCACGCGTTTTTAAGGAAAAGTCCTAGTTCCCGCATACTCGAACTGTGCTTGTAGAGGCTTCTGGTCACCGGGGTTCCATCTGGGTGAGGCGGGATGCGGTACCTACCCCATCTGGGACTTCCCGATGATCTCGACTCTTTTTGGAACCTGTTTTTTTTTTTTTCTTCCGGGAGCTGTGGATCCTGCCCTCCATGTGGCCCTTCTCTTCAGCTGTATGCTGTAAAGATGGCGCTGGGGGGCGGACTGGCCCACTGGGTTTTGATGTCCTTAATATTTGTCAGCTTGAACACTAGCTCGCGCGTTTGGAGTTGGGGTGAGAATGATATTGCGCTGAATAACTGGCCGGCCCGCGTGCTCTCTTTGGTCACACGAGTGACCAACGGCTCACCAATGGACAGTCAGCCTGTGCTGTTTGTCTCCTTCTCTGCCACCAGCCCTTGCTGGACGGAGGTCGAAGGTGCCAATCTGATTGGCCTTAGTAGTGTTACAGCACAGGAAGGGCCTAGGATTTCCACTTGGGCTCAGGGTGATTTATCTGTGGGGTATTGATTTTACACAAATTCTTAAAATTAAGACTAAATAAATTTGAATAAATTAAATAAATTTATCATGACCTGGGGCTGGAGTGATAGATAGCACAGAGGTTAGGGCATTTGCCTTGCACACGACCAACCCAGGTTTGATTCCTCCGTCCCTCTTGGGGAGCCCGGCAAGCTACCGAGAGTATCTCGCCCGCACGGCAGAGCCTGGCTAGCTACACGTGACGCATTCGATATGCCAAACACAGTAACAACAAGTCTCACGATGGAGACATCACTGGTGCCCACTTGAGCAAATCGATGAACAGTGGGAGGACAGCGCTACAGTGCAGGGCTATCATGACCTTGTATGACCTATAAATTACTGCTAAGAATTTGCCTATGTTTTTAATGATATACATAAAAAGTATACAGGCATTTAAGAACTTTTAAGAGAAACCATATAGATATTTGTTAATCTCTCTAATAAAATACAACCAGAAGTCAAAAGACAGGAAACTAAATTGCTACTAAATTTGAGTAATACTGGTTATAAGTCCCTTAGTGTTGCATTTTATAAATAAGTTCTTCAGCCTATGGAAATATAGCAGAGATATTATACATATTTTGAAAAATCTACAAACATTTATGTCAGTTAAATATTAATATTAAATATTAATACAAAATATCCTCAGGGAAAAAATCTATCTGTATCAGTGAGTTTTATTACTTAGTCTTCATATAATTTTCAAATTAAACCTATACCTCATAGCCATTATTACAGTGACCAAAAATATCATAACTCATCCAAGTTATAAATATTATTCACAGGAAAAACTATTTTTGTTTGGGGGCCAAGTACATTCATAAAGAAAGTGCCTCGAGTTACTCCTCTGAAATATGCAGCAGTGCTCAGGGTTTACTCTTGGAACTGGGTACCAGTAGCGGTCACTCCTGAGCAATACTAGATTTTTCCAAAAATTCAAAATGATAATAATAATTCATCCTCCACACTAACCGAAATAGTAGGTAAGCTGTGAGAACTCCTGAATGTGGGAGGGAGGGAGGGAGGGAGGGAGGAAGGAAGGAAGGAAGGAAGGAAGGAAGGAAGGAAGGAGAGAAGGAAGGAAGGAAGGAAGGAAGGAAGGAAGGAAGGAAGGAAGGAAGGAAGGGAGAGAATGAGGGAGGGAGAGGGAGGGAGGGGAGGGAAGGAGGGAAGGAGAGGGGAGGAAGGGAGAGGGAGGGGAGGGAAGGAAGGAAGGAAGGAAGGAAGGAAGGAAGGAAGGAAGGAAGGAAGGAAGGAAGGGAGAGAATGAGGGAGGGAGAGGGAGGGAGGGGAGGGAAGGAGGGAAGGAGAGGGGAGGAAGGGAGAGGGAGGGGAGGGAAGGAAGGAAGGAAGGAAGGAAGGAAGGAAGGAAGGAAGGAAGGAAGGAAGGGAGAGAATGAGGGAGGGAGAGGGAGGGAGGGGAGGGAAGGAGGGAGGGAGAGGGGAAGAAGGGAGAGGGAGGGGAGGGAAGGAAGGAAGGAAGGAAGGAAGGAAGGAAGGAAGGAAGGAAGGAAGGAAGGGTGGGTCCTGTGAGCCCAGCGAGGGCAGGTCCCATCCTGTCCCTCTCATGAGCGTTTGTCTTTCCCTTCGCCCCGCAGGAGTCGCTCAGCCCATGCCGCCCGCCCTGAGGGACTGAACCCGTGCCATGGGGCCGCCCGGGGGCCTGCTGGGCGCGGGGCAGGGGCCCCTGGCCCTGTGGGGCAGCCTGGCGGCTGTCGCCACCTTCCTCCTCGTCACCTTCCTCATCCTCCTGTGCTCCGGCTGTGACAGGTAAGAGCCGGGCGTCCCCACCCCACAGCACGGGCGTCCTGGCCCCACAGACGGGAACCCGGCAGAAAGGGTGGGACACGGTCAGGGCACACGCAGGGTCAACCCGGGCATGCCCCCCCCACCAGGCCCCACAGGAGCAATCTCTGAGCACAGACCCAGGAGTAAGCCCTGAGCACTGTTGGGTGTGGTCCAAAAACAGGAGAAGGGGAGGGAGAGGGAAGTGGGAGAGAGAATATTGGGGGCAAACGGCACTGGGTGAAGGCAGAGGACTGACCCCGGCTCCATCTCCGGCACTGCATGTGGTGCCCCAAAGGCACTGCATGTGGTGCCCCAAAGCACTGCCACAGGCAACCCCCTGAGAACACAGCAGGACTGAGCCCTGGCATGCTGGAGTGGGAGGAAGGGAAGGAGGGAGTGAGGGAGGGAGGGAGGGAGGGAGGAAGGAAGGGAGGGAGGGAGGGAGGGAGGGAGGGAGGGAGGGAGGGAGGGAGGGAGGGAAGGAGGAAGGAAGGAAGGGTAGAAGGGAGGAAGGAAGGAGGAAGTAAGGGAGGGAAGGAGGAAGGGAGGGTGGAAGGAAGGAAGGAAGAAAGGAAGGGAGGGAGGGAGGGAGGGAGGGAGGGAGGGAGGAAGGAAGGTAGGGTAGAAGGGAGGAAGGAAGGAGGAAGTAAGGGAGGGAAGGAGGAAGGGAGGGAGGAAGGAAGGAAGGAAGGAAGGAAGGAAGGAAGGAAGGAAGGAAGGAAGGAAGGAGACAGGGAGGAAGTAAGTGAGGGAAGGAGGGTGGAAGGAGGGAGGGAGGGTGGAGGGAGGGAGGGAGGGAGGGAGGAAGATCAAACAGACAGACAGACAGACAGAATCCCTCTGTATGGTTTTCCCTAAAGCTCCCCTGAAGATGGTCCAGCCCAGCACCACGTGTCCCCCAGCCCGCAGTGTCCCTGGGCCCCCGCGGGCCCCAGCACCACCTGCCTGCAGAGAGTCACGGTGGAGCCCCAGAGCCCTGAGCCCGCAAAGGGAGGGATGGAGGGATGGAGAGGTGGAGGGAGGAGTAGGGTGGGGGGAGGAACCGCCCGTCTGGGATTCTGGCCTGCAGCTGGGAGCGCCCTGGGTGGTGAACCTTCCCACGGGTCATTTTTGCCTCTTTGCTCCCGGCTTGACCCCGTCGGCCGCCCTTTCCGTCCCCTCCGTTGGCAGCCTTGGGAGTCCCGGGTCTCTGAGGCTCAGCCCATGCCAACATCGAGTCCCGGAGAGCTTTTGCCATGGTGGTTTGGCGGAGTCGTTCCGCTAAGGACTTTTCCTCTAGCGCTGAGTTTCTTAACTAGATTCGTTTTCCTAGAGAAGGAGATGCCGCGTGTGCAGGAATCCTTTAGGTGTGGTGGTTTGTTGTGTTTTCGTTGGGGGTCACACTCAGAGCCCCGGGCTTACTCCTGGCCCTGCTCAGGGGCCCTGCTGGGGCTTGGGGGACAGTCTAGGGTGTCAGGGCTGAACCTGCTGAACCCTGGCCAGCCAGCGCAAGGCGAGGTCCTGCCCGTGGAACTGTCTCTCCAGCCCCCTGACTCCTTGGCGTAGAGCTCCACTTCTCCCCTCCCCTCCCCTCACCCCAAGAGAAGAAACCGAAGAAAGTGAAGTCCCAGGCAGGACCGTTTGTTTCCTCTGCGGTGCTCAGGGACGCTGGCGAGTGTCTGTTACCTCTGCGGTACTCTGTCTCCCGCTCAGCCACCGACCCTTGGTCAAGCCTCGCAGTAAACTCAAGAAATGCACCTTGTTCTTCCAAGGACGGATGGGCTTCCCGCCCTGCCTCATTTGGAGGATAGAGCCTGCTTCCCTCAACTCCACGGGCTGCCAAGCCCTGGCCGGTTACGACACTGCAGAAAGATGCAGGAGCTGAGCCCCAACTTCAACACACACACACACACACACACACACACACACACACCTATGAGCCTCTCACCCCATACCTGGCAGGAAAATGCAGGAGCTGAGAGCCCCACCCCCAACACACACATCACACGTGCACACACACGCATGCACACACACATACACATACCTGTCAGCCTGGACTTGGCAGAAGATGCAGAATCTGAGAGCCCCACCCCCAACACACATGTATACATGCACACACACACACACACACACACACCTGTCAGCCTTTCACCCTGGACCTGGCAGGAAAATGCAGGAGCTGAGAGCCCCACCTCGAACACACACACGCACACGTGCACACACACACACACGCGCGCGCACACACATACACACACACACACACAGACCTGTCAGCCTGGACTTGGCAGAAGATGCAGAATCTGAGAGCCCCACCCCCAACACAGTGTACACATGCACACACACACACACACACACACACACACACACACACACACACACACACACACCCCTGTCAGCCTCTCACCCTGGACCTGGCAGGAAAATGCAAGAGCTGAGAGCCCCACCCCGAACACAAACATGCACACTTGCATACACACACGCACACATGCACACACGCACACATGCACACACACACACACACACACACACATACACACATACACAGACCTGTCAGCCTGGACTTTGCAGGACAATGCAGGAGCTGAGAGCCCCACCCCAACACACACACACACACACACACACACCTGTCAGCTTCTCACCCTGAACTTGGCAGGAAGATGCAGGAGATGAATGCCCCATCCCCAACACACACATGCACACAAGCACACTCACATGCACACGTGCTTGCGGACTCACACCCGCACACAGAATCCCCTCCCTTCAGCCCCTCACCATGGACCGAAGTGCACGGCTTCTGCAATGACGTGACTGCCCACTAGATGTCAGTCTTGCCTTACAAATTTGGGAGAAACTGGTTTCCCTTGTCCCAGTGACTTTCTTTAGTGTGTCCGGAGTAAAAATAAATTCTATTTTTACTTGACAGAACTTTTCCATAGACTGGAAATACCTATGACTCACCCTCAGAGCATGTTCCCTTCCCTGGGAGCCAACCGTGTATTCTGTTTATTTTCTCAGTCCTGTTGCGGGGTGTGACTTTGCAGGACTGAGTCTGGCGGAGAGATGAGAGATAAGAATCCTCTAGGTTTCCTGGGGTTTTATTATTTTTTTTTTTTAGAAAAGAAAAAGATGATTAGTTCCAGCCTTCTTAAAACGAACAGCTTATATACTCAGGAAAACCTTCGGTCACCCTATTGAGAATGTTTGTGTCCCTGGAAGAAGAGTTGGGGGTTGCTGAGAACCCGCAACCCCGCCCCCCTCTCCCCGCCCTCCCCCAGTGCTGGCGACCCTTCCAGGCTCAGCAGAGTTAACTGTGTTCTGAGGGAGCTGATACCTCAGGAATAGGCGATTAGGCAGGCTGCAGAGGGCAGGGGTCGAGGTAAAGCTTTTGCCTTGCACGGGGCGACCCAGTTCCTTCATGGGCCCTCAGATACCTCTGGGAACAGCCCCTGAGCTCCCCTGGGCGTGGCTCTGGAACCCACCAAAAATATAAGTAGGAAGCGGGCGTGTACCTTGATTTTTAGGTGGCGCATTTGGTAACCGAACCCTGTTTTGTTTTCCGTGGCAGAGAAAAGAAGCCAAGACAACACAGTGGGGATGATGAGAACCTGATGAACGTGGTGAGTCCGCGGGCACGTGTGTGCATATATGCATACACACGTGTGTACACGTGTGCGTGTATGCACGCACATGTGTGTGCACGTGTTTGCACATGTGTGTATATATGAGTGCACAAGCTTGCAATTATGAGTGCATGTGTGTTCGAGCACACCTGTGTGCGTGTGTGAGTATATGTGTGCGTGCATGTGTGTTTGCACGTGTGTGTATATGAGCGTACACGTGGGCATGTAGGAGCGCACGAGACATATGAAGCCTGAGACTGGAACAGCTCTCCGTGGCGAGACTGTCATTCTCCACATACTACCTCTCTGTGTCGCTGTCACGGCGCAGTATTGAATCGTCCTGGCACAATGTTATTTTTAAGCTTCACACACTGAGCGAAAGAAATTCGACATAAAATTGGCGGGGGCTTTGCAACGAAATGCAGTTATCTTTGACGGAATCGAAATCTGTCCTCCTCAGACAAAGGCGGGGGGACGCCCCCTGCTGGCCTTCCTGGGGCCACAGCTCAGAGAGAACAAAGGTCGCCCAAACCTGGAGCCCAGCAGAGCTGCCCTGTGCCGACTTCACTTCCGACCAGCACCGGGCCCTCAAAGTGATTTTTCTTTTGTGGGGTCACACCCGGCAATGCACAGGGGTTATTCCTGGCTTATGCACTCAGGAATTACTCCTGGCCGTGCTCAGGGGACCATATGGGATGCTGGGAATCAAACCCGGGTTGGCCGCGTGCAAGGCAAACGCCCTCCCCTCTGTGCTATCACTCCAGCACCTCAAAGTGATTTTAAGGGACCAGCCTTATGTGCTGCTGATGGTGGCTCCATGCCTGGCCCCCAGCTATGCACCTGAGCCCTGCCAAGAGCCATCCCTGAGCACCGCACCAGGAGTCAGCCCTGAGTACATTCAGTTGTGGCCTCAAATCACTCCCCTCCCCTCACCCCCGGCAAGGCAGCTCTGAGCATGAGGGTTCCAGGTTCCCTGAGATTCTAGACACCTGTGCAATAGGATTTCCCGGGTGATGACGACACAAGAAACGGCTCATGATTCAGTCCCCTTTGGCCACATGTGGCTCCCGGGCACAACGCTTGGTCCCAGGTCACGCCACTTGTCATGCATGTAGGCCTAAGCTGTGCATGTGGTTCTTGGTGTGAGAGTGTCTGTTTCCATCTGTGGAAGAGGCCGGGCCGGGCCCTGGGCCATGCAGAGAGAGACGCAGACGTGTGGTGTGTTTCCGTTTCTGCAGACTTCTGACAAGGAGATGTTCAGCCGCTCCATTACCAGCCTGGCCACGGACGCCCCCATCAGCAGTGAGCAGAACGGGGCGCTCACCAACGGAGACAGTAAGTTCTCCCCAAATGCCACTGGGGGTCGGACACCATGACCAGAGCAATAGGCAGAGAGGAGGGCACTTGCCTTACATGCGGCCGACCCGGGCTCCATCCCCGGCCTCCTGTGTGGCCCCAAAGCATCCCCAGGAGTGATTCCTGACTGCAGAGCCCAGAGGAGCCCCTGAGCACTGAAACAACCTCCGAAAGGAAGGATGAGATTTCAGCCAATGTGATGCCTAAATTCAGAGTTAGGCTCTTGCCCCTTGTAGCATCCATCCTGGTTTAATCCCCAAAATTTCATTTTACTGGATGAAAGGCTGGTCTTGGCTGGCTTTTGCGCCTGTGGTGGGAGGCTCGGGGTTATGCATGAGGGGCCGTTAGCGAGGGTCACCTGATGGCTCCCTGGAAGACGGCGGTCGGCTCTGTTCCCCGTGCCAGGTGGGGAAACCCTGGCATGTCGCAAACACAATGCCTCAGATGGCCAGCGCGGCATCTCACAGCTGGAAATCACCATCTCACCACTGGTCCACAAGGACCTGGGGATGTCCACTCCCCCGCCCGGCTCATCTCGGGAGGGTCCTGCAGTCCTGAGCCCCTCCACTCTGATGCCTTTGGTTTTTGTTGGGTTTTGTTTCCGAGGGCAGGGAGTGAGCTCTTCATTCACTCATCCAGGCTTTCCTGTGACAATGACTCACTCGGGTCTGGCCTGTGATTCACTCAGCCCTGGACTCCCGGGGCCCCCGAGAATCCCAAACAAGTCATTTTTAAAAAGGATTAAAATGTATGAGATGGGGTCAAAAAGAGAGTCCAAACATATAGGGTACTGGCCGTGCTTATGGTTCAGAAGATTCCATCCCTGCCACCGCGCAAGGTCCCCAAGACCCCATGAGTCCCAGAGCCAGGAGTCAGCCCCGAGCACAGCCGGGTATGCCCCAAAAGTTGAACAAATTAGTCATGTTATAAACACATACATTGGCACACACGTAAAGACTAATTAGACATGAGCTGGGGGAGAAGGCAGCTGGGATGGAGAAGGGATCACTAAGTCACTGATGGTTGGAGGCATCGCTCGGGACGGGAGATGTGTGCTGAAAGTAGACTAAGGACCAGGCATGATGGCCTCTCAGTATCTGTATTGCAAATCATAATACCCCCAAAGTAGAGAGAGAGGAAGAGGGAAATTGTCTGCCATAGAGGCAGGGAGTAGGCGTGGGAAGGGGAGGGATACTGGGGACATTGGTGGTGGAAGATGGGCACTGTTGGAGGGATGGATGTTCGATCACTGTGTGACTAAAACTCAATCATGAAAGCCTTGTAACTGTAACTCACGGTGATCTATTTTTTTAAAACTAAGTATAATCTGTAAACATATTATAGAAGGAGTATTAAAATGGGAAATGTATGACTGTAAATACATACAGATACATTTTCTCTGTTTATACATTGTTATACTGAAATGAAGAGCATCTCCCATGTGAGAGATAGTACAAGTGTTCAGGCACTTGCCTCCCACGTGGCTGTCCCGGGTTCGATCCCCGGCACCCCATATGGTCCCCAAACACCACCAGGAGTGATCCCTGAGTGCTGGGTCAGGAGTTAGCCCTGAGCACAGCCGGTGTAGCCCAACACCTTTCCCCAAATCATGTCTAAATGGAATATCCTAGAAAGACTCTCACAGAGACGCCATGTTTGATATGGTCCATCACCGGGGAAGGATGAGGAGGACGAGACCCAAGTGGGTCGGTGTCCCGAGCATCCCCGCCGTCCACGGTACCCAGAGGCACGTCTCATAGCGGCACAGCCGAGCAGCTGCCCCATGACATTTCCGTGGAATCCTGTAACCCCATGGACCTGCCTGGGTGGGTGCTTAAGAGCGGTTGGGCCCTGGACAGCCCCATGCGTGTCTCTGTGCAGCCTGCTTGGTTCGCTCCCACCCCGTGAGCCGAGTCGGCCTCTCAGGAGTGGCCGTGGGGCCACTGACCAGTTCCGTCCGCGGGCCAGAGGAATCCTTGGGGCCAGCGAGGGTGCCCACCACCCATGCCCCCTTGGCTCCTCCGCCCCTCCGTGTTGTGTCCCGTTCACTCTCCTGTCATGCTGGACACTCTCCCTGCAAGGGGCCACTCCTGACCGCCCGTCAGGGCCTCCGCTGGGGAGGGGAATGTGAGGCTCCCGTTTCTGCTGGGATTGAAGCGCCAACTGACGGGGCCGGAGAGAGAACGGGGTGAAGGCCCACACGCACTGCATTGCCCAACTCTGGTTGGTACCACAGGGTCCCCCAGGTGGCCCGGGGTGCAGGTCCCCCCAGTCCTGTAGGGTAGCTTGGCTCTCCCTGGGTCTGACAGGGCCTGAGCAGTTCAAACCCTTTGGTCCTCGAACCATCAGCTTGGGTGGCCTGGAATCACCAGGAAGGGCTCAGAGACCCTTGACCGAGACTTGGGAACCTTCAGAAGCTTTAAAAAGAAAAAGAAGCTGGAGCGATAGCACAGCGGAGAGGGCGTTTGCCTTGCAAACAGCCGACTTGGGTTCGATTCCCAGCATCCCGTATGGCCCCCCGAGCACCACCAGGAGTGATTCCTGAGTGCAAAGTCAGGAGTAACCTCTGAGCATCGCAGGGTGTTACCCAGAAAGCAAAAAAAAAAAAAAAAAAAGAAAGAAAGAAATATCCAGTGGGTGGCAGACATCTAGAAGGCCCACCCTTGAGTCCAGTGCAGAGCAAGCGCCCCTAATGCACCTGACCTGCCTTGCTATAGCACTGAGCCCTCAGCACCTGACTCTACCTTACTGTAGCACTGAGCCCCCAGCACCCAACGCTGCCTTACTGTATAGCACTGAGCCCCCAGCACCTGACCCTGCCTTACTGCAGTACTGAGCCCCCAGCACCTGACCTGCCTTGCGGCAGCACTGAGCTCCCAGCACCCAACCTGCCTTACTGCAGCACTGAGCCCCCAGCACCCAAACTGCCTGACCATAGCACTGAGCCCCCAGCACCCGACATGCCTTGCTGCAGCACTGAGCTCCAGCACCCGACATGCCTTGCTGCAGCACTGAGCCCCCAGCACCCGACCTGCCTTACTATAGCACTGAGCCCCCAGCACCCGACCTGCCTTGCTGCCGCACTGAGCCCCTAGCACCCAACCTGCCTTGCTGCAGCACTGAGCCCCTAGCACCCAACCTGCCTTGCTGCCGCACTGAGCCCCTAGCACCCAACCTGCCTTGCTGCAGCACTGAGCCCCTAGCACCCAACCTGCCTTGCTGCAGCACTGAGCCCTCAGTACCCAACCTGCCTTGCGGCAGCACTGAGCCTTCAGCACCCAACCTGCCTTACTGTAGCACTGAGCCCCCAGCACCCGACCTGCCTTGCTGCAGCACTGAGCCCTCAGCATCCAACCTGCCTTACTCTAGCACTGAGCCCCCAGCACCCAGCCTGCCTTACTCTAGCACTGAGCCCCCAGCACCCGAGCTGCCTCGCGGCAGCCCTGCGCCCTGACGGCTCTCCCTCCCCGCCCAGTTCTCTCCGAGGACAGCACGCTGACCTGCATGCAGCACTACGAGGAGGTGCAGACCTCGGCGTCCGACCTGCTGGACTCGCAGGACAGCGGCGGGAAGCCCAAGTGCCACCAGAGCCGGGAGCTGCCGCAGATCCCCCCCGAGGGCGCGGTGGGCGCGCTGCGGGCCGACGGGGACCCCGCGCCGGGCCTGGAGGGGCCCTACGAGGTGCTCAAGGACAGCTCCTCCCAGGAGAACATGGTGGAGGACTGCCTGTACGAGACGGTCACGGAGATCAAGGACGTGGCGGCCCCGCCCGGCAGGGGCCCCCGCGCCCGGCCCAACGCGGCACCCAGGGGCGCGGCCGGCGCGCACCCCGACGGCAGGGCGGACTTCGCCGAGTACGCGTCGGTGGACCGCAACAAGAAGGGCCGGCAGAGCGCGCCCCCCGACAGCACCCCGGGGGGCGCCGAGCCGGAGGACGAGCCCCCGCCGCCCGTGCCCGCCAAGCTGCTGGACGAGAACGAAAACCTGCAGGAGGAAGAGGAGGAGGAGGAGGAGGAGGAGCAGGGGAGCGCAGGCCCCGAGGGCGGCCCGGAGGAGGCCGAGGGCGCCAACAAGGTACGTGCCCTGTGCTTGCGCCCAGGCTGGGCGTCCTTCCCAGGTGCAGGGGTTCATTCGGGTGGCGGCGGTGGTGCTGCCTTGAAGGGTTACTCCTCGGGGCTGGACGGGTAGTCCAGCAGCGAAGGGGAGGACTTCGCCTTGCACCCATCTGGTCCCGGGTTCAAGCGCCTCGCCAGGAGTGATTCCCTGAGCACAGAGTCCGGAGTCAGCCCTGAGCAGTACTGCCAGGGGGGATTCCACAACAAACCAGGAAGAGCTAAATAGTAGTAAAATAGAGGTGGGTTTCTTTGCCGGCTTCCTTGCGTGGCTGTTGAGCTCATTCAGCGGATCTGTGCACACACGCACCAAGAGCTTCTTTCTTTCCTTCTTTCTTTCTTTCTTTCTTTTCTTTCTCTCTTTCTTTCTTTCTCTCTTTCTCTTTCTTTCATTGAATCACCTTGAGACACAGTTACAAAGCTTTCATGTTTGAGTTTCAGTCATGTAGTGACCAAATACCCATCCCTTCACCAGTGCTCATTCTCCACCACCTGTGTCCCCAGTAACCCCCGACCCCACCCCATCCCAACCTTCCCCCTGCCTCCATGGCAGACAATTTCCTCCATACTCTCTCTCTACTTTTGGGTATTATGGTCTGCAGATACTGAGAGGCCATCACGTTTGGTACCAGGAGCTTATTTCATCCACACACGTGCTTGTGGCTCTAGAAATTGCAGTGAACACCTTGAGGATGTCGGTTACACCTGTCTCACTGGGAAGAAGGGAAATCCGGGAATACACAGAGAGAGATGCGAGCAGGAGGCATACATGGACATTTCTTTGATTCTTTCTTTCTTTCTTTCTTTCTTTCTTTCTTTCTTTCCTTCTTTCTTTCTTTCTTTCCTTCTTTCTTTCTTTCTTTTTTGTTTTTTTGGGTCACACCAGCGATGCACAGGGGTTACTCCTGGCTCATGCACTCAGGAATTACTCCTCGCGGTACTCAGGGGACCCTATGGGATGCTGGGGATCAAACCCGGGTTGGCCACGTGCAAGGCAAACACCTTACCCGCTGTGCTATCCCTCCAGCCCCGATTCATTTTCTTAAAGTTGTGGCTAGAGTTAGGAGACAGGTCTGGGCCACAGTTCCCTGAGAGACCAAGGTTGTGGAGCGAGACACCAGCAGTTCATACCACTCAGCATCAGGACCCACGTGAGCGCTAAGTGCTCCCAGGACTGGAAAGGGCACTGAGGATTTCAGTATGATTTTGATGGTCGAGTATCGAGTGTAAGACTGACGGCGCAGAAAGGGAAGATGGCCAGGAGAATGCAGAGACATTGCAAAAATAGCTGAAGCCCTCCCAGGCTGAAGCATTGCTGGGATTGGGTTAGAGGAAGGGGCTCGCCCGTGAATGGGGCCTCAGGGGCATTAGAGCAATTGGGCCGGTTGGGGCTGGTTCCCGTGAGTGACAGGAAGCTGGGATGCAGCTCAGAGGGGACCAGGAAGTGTGGTGTAGGCAAATCAGGGCAGAGTGGTCGAGGTAGATTTGCAAAAGTACGTTTGGTAACCCCGCACGGCAAAGCCTGGCAAGCTCCCGGTGACGTATTCGCTATGCCAAACACAGCAACAAGTGTCACAATGTTACTGGGCCCGCTCAAGCAAATCGATGAACAACGGGAGGACAGTGACAGTGACAATGAGGTTGGGTAATGGCAGCTTGGTTGACAATAACGCAGACAGGCTGTGTGGTAAGAGAATCGGTGAACCTGAAGTGAACCAAATCGTGAAACAAAGCACAGAGCAAGTCAAGGTCTCTAAGTTCCTTTATTCATGAGCTTGGAAAAGATTTCAGATGACTTAGGAATCTTCCTGGTGATTCATGCAAACTTTAGAAATGAAAAACTTAAGCATCTGATAAGAAAGTCTTTGGGGCTGATTCATACTTTAACAACAAGTAGATTTGATTAGTCTACGTAACTTTCTTATTTGTAAGTTAAGGTTCAAATTAGAAGAAATTTGGGACTGGAGATATAGCACAACGGGGAAAGAGATTTGCATGCACCTGGCCAACCCAGACTAGATTCCCAGAACCTATATTGTCCCTGACCCCTTTGGAAGTCACCCCTGGGTGCAGAGTCAGGAGTAGTCCCAGAGCACCACCAGGTATTTCCCCAAAACAAAAATAATATATAAGAAATATATCGAACACCGTAGCACTGTAGCACTGTCCTCCCGTTGTTCATCGATTTGCTAGAGCGGGCCCAGTAACGTCTCCATTGTGAGACTTGTTGTTACTGTGTTTGACATATCGAATACGTCACGGGGAGCTTGCCAGGCTTTGCCTTGCGGCCGAGATACTCTCGGTTAGCTTGCTGGGATCCCCGAGAGGGGCAGAGGAACCGAACCTGGGTTAGCCAGGTTGGCCACATGAGAGGCAAATGCCCTACCACTGTGCTAACACTCCAGCCTATATCATATATTTAAATATATCGAAAAGCTATCATATAATAGATTTATTTCCAAATATTTAAACCTCAGGTGCTTTGTGTCTGTTTGTGACTTCCTACAAATCAATCAAAAATATTTTTCTAGATAGGTGGGTTAAGGCATTTGCAAAAGAAATGTTGAATTATTGATACAAACTAACTTCTCTTCTTTTTTGTGTGTTCTAACAGAGATTCAGTTCATTGTCATACAAGTCCCGGGAAGAAGACCCAACTCTCACGGAAGAAGAGGTGAGTTTCGTTGACCAGAAAGTTCTCTGACTGTAGGATAGAGCCCTGTTCTCATTTAAATTCACGCTCTTGTTACCTTTTCTGAAAAGGCCAAGATACTCTCTTTCATCGTGTGTTTGGTTTGGAGATTTTGGCTTTAAAATGGCTCAGAAAGGGTGACAGCAGATGGTCAAAGAAGGAAGATGGGCTAACGAGGACAGCTAAGGAAAGGACGCTGTCTTGGGAAGAAGGATCAGGAGAGAAGAGAAAGAAAGGAGAACAAGGGAAGAAGCATGGAGCTGCAGCCTCCTGCCAAAAAGTGCACGTTGGAAGGAGAGGAACCGGGGAGATCCCGGGAGCTGAAACAAGTGCTGGGTGAGAGGAATCTGAGCAGGTCCAAGGACAAAGGGACAAGCTGGGGGACAGAGAGAGGAGGTCTAAGTGAGGCGTGCCGGAAGCAGAAAGCAGGTCACTTTGGAAGCTACTTTCTGGACTGGAGCTAGGGTAAGATACAGCTGCCAAGAGACAGGTCTGTATGGGGCCAGATGGATAGTACAGTGGGTAGAGCTCTTGCCTTGCAAGCCTTGAACGCTGGACCAGGGGTGGATTAGAGAAGGGCTGGAGCAAAAGTACAGGGGGTAGAGTACTTGGCTTATGTGTGGTTGACCCGGGTTCAATCCCCGGCATCGCATATGGTCTCCTGAGCAATGCCAAAAGTGTAGAGAGAGCCAGGAGTAAGTTCTCAGGGTTATCAGATGTCGCCCAGAGATAGAAATTAATTAAGTTGGAATTTTTCTTCTTGCATTTTTAAGGTAAAGGTAAAGGCCCTCCCGTTGATCGTCGATTTGCTCGAGCGGGCCCAGTAACGTCTCCATTGGAGACTTTGTTGTTACTGTGTCTGGCATATCGAATACTCTCGGTAGCTTGCCGGGCTCTCCGAGAGGGGCGGAGGAATCGAACTCGGGTCGGCCATGTTGGCCGCTTGTAAGGGGAACGCCCTACCCGCTGTGCTATCGCTCCATTTTTAAAAATTTTTTATTAAATCACCGTGATACAATTACAAAGCTTTCATGATTGAGTTTCAGTCCTACAATGATCGAACACCCATCCCTCCACCAGTGTATATTTTCTACCACCAATGTCCCCAGTATCCCTACCACCATCCCCACCCACCCTCACCCCTTGCCACTGCGGTAGGCATCTTCCTTCTTACTCTCTCTCTACTTTGGGCACTGTGGTTTTCAATACAGATACTGAGAGGCCATCCTGATTGGTCCTTTGTCTACTTTCAGCACACATCTCCCATCCCAAGCGATCCCTCCAGCCATCATTCACTTAATGGTTCCTTCTCCATCCCAACTGTCTTCTCCCCCAGCACTTGACATGGCTTCCAACAGTGAACAAATCCTCCTGGCACTTGTTTCTACTGTCCTTGGATGTTATTCTCAGACTATGTTGTTGTTGTTTTTACATTCCACAAATGAGTACAGTCATTCTATATCTGTCCCTCTCCCTCTGACCCATTTCCTCAGCATGATAATCTCCATATCCATCCATTTATAAGCAAATTTCCTGACTTACTTTTTTCTAAGTAAGCTGTATAGTATTCCATTGTGAAGGTGTACCATAGTGTCTTTAACCAGTTGTCTGTTCTCAAGTGCTCAAGTTGTTTCAAGATTCTGGCTATTATGAATAGCGCCACGATGAACATACAAGCACAAATGTTATTTCTACTTTTTTTTTGCACCACTGGGATATATTCCCAGAAGTGACATTGCAGGGTCATATGGAAGCTCAGTTTCTAGTTTTTTGAGAAATGCCCATATTGTTTTCCAAAACAGTTGGCATTCCCACCAGTAATGAATGAGAATCCTCTTCTCCCCACATCTGTGCCAGCACTGGTTGTTCTTGTTCTTTTTGATGTTTTCCCATCTCTGTGGTATAAGATGATATCTCAATGCTGTTTTGATTTGCACTTCCTGATGATTAGCGATGCAGAGCATTTTTTCATGTGCTTTTTGGCCATTTTTATCTCTTTTTTGAGTAGATTTCCGTTCATTTCTTTTTCCCATTTTTTGATGCGGTTGGAGGTTTTTTTCTTGTAAAGTTCTACCAGTGTCTTATACACCCTAGATATCAACCCTTATCTGATGAGTATTGGGCAAATAATTTTTCCCATTCCATGGGCTCTCTCTGTATTTTGGTCACCATTTCTTTTGAGGTGCAGGAGCTTCTTAGTTTAATGCAGTCCCATTTGTTTATCTTTGTTTTCAATTGCTTGATCAGTGGAGCTTCATCCTTAAAAAATGCCCTTAGCGGGGCTGGAGCGATAGTTGTCTGTTCTCAAGTGCTCAAGTTATTTCAAGATTCTGGCTATTATGAATAGCGCCACGATGAACATACAAGTACAAATGTTATTTCTACTTTTTTTTTGCACCACTGGGATATATTCCCAGAAGTAGTATTGCAAGGTCATATGGAAGCTCAATTTCTAGTTTTTTGAGAAATGCCCTTATTGTTTTCCAAAAAAAACCTGGACCAGTTGGCATTCCCACCAATAATGAATGAGTGTAGAGCCAGGGGTAACCCCTGAGCATGGCCAGGTGTGACCCAAAAAGCAAAAAAAAAAAAAAGGCTTTAGCTTCAATGTAATGGAGAATTCTGCCTATATTTTCTTCCCGTGTACCTTATGGATTCAGGTCTGATGTTGAGGTCTTTAATCCACTTTATTTATTTTTTTTTTGCTTTTTGGGTCACACCCGGCTTTGCAAAGGGGTTACTCCTGGCTCATGCACTCAGGAATTACTCCTGGCAGTGCTCAGGGGACCATATGGGATGCTGGGAATCGAACCTGGGTCGGCCGTGTGCAAGGCAAATGCCCTACCCGCTTTGCTATTGCTCCAGCCCCCTTTAATCCACTTTAGTCTGACTTTTGTGCCTGGGTAAGAGGTCTGATTTATTTTTCTTTTGCATGCAGCTGTCCAGTTTTCCCAGCACCACTGTTGAGGAGGCTTTTTCTGCTTGACTTTCTTGCTCCTTTGTCAAAGATTAAGTGATTATATATTTGAGGGTCTGTATCAGGATAATTAACTCTATTCCATTGGTCTGCAGGTCGGTTTCTAGTCCAAGACCATGCTGTTTTAATTACTACTGCTTTGTAGTACAGTTTGAAGTTAGGGAAGGTGATGCCACCCGTCTTCTTTTTCCCAAGGATTGCGTTAGCTATTTGTGGGGGTTTATTGTTCCATGTGAATCTTGGGGGTGTTCTGTATATTTCTCTAAAAAAATGTCATGGGTTTCCTTATAGAAACTGCACTGAATCTGTATAATGCTTCGAGAAGTATTGCCAGTTTGACAATGTTAGTCCTCCTGATCCATGAGCAGGGGATGTGTCTCTGTTTCCTCATGTCCTCTTTTATTTTCTGAAGTATAGTTTTAGATTTCTTTGTACATGTTCTTCACCTTTTTAGTTAAGATGATTCCGAAGTACTTGATTTTCTGGGGCACTACTGTAAACAGGATTTTTTTTAAATATCTCTTTCTTCTCTTTAATAATTTGTATATAGGAAAGCTATAAACTTACTTCTTGTATTTTTGGTGTAGTTTTGGGAAACTGGATTCTGTTACAGTGATGAATTTCTAACAAAATTTTTTTATTTTTTAACTGATATTCATTCATTCTAATTTATTTTGCTGATACATACTTTTGGAAAAATAAACATGTAAATCATTTCTTTTTGTACTTGTGTAATATAATATTAGTCCAGATTGAAACTGAGATCTGTGTTTTGAGTGCCATTATTCCAATTTAACAGAATGATTGGGGGAAAGGGTTTTTTTTAAAAAAAAAAATAGTTAGGGGAAAGAAAAGAAAAAAGGAAATGGGAAAAGGTAATTTATGAGAGCATAAAAACAATTTACAAGCTGAATAGTGAAAATGAAAGGCTTTTTAAGGGAAAAATTGCAAAGCTAAATAGCAAGGGGACTGGAAGAGAAACCTGTATACGAAATAGAAATAATAATCAAAGAAGACAGATAGTCAGAAAGAACATAGGAAGATCTTCAAAGCCTGTGAGAGCCAAAATTAACAATGACTGCTTCTGCATGTAAGGTTTGCTTGGAGATAATATTATGTTACAAGTTAATGAAAGAACCTGTAATTTTTTTCTAAAAAGAGTATAAGCTAGACAGAATCAAGTATTTACAAAGTCTGGGGGCTATTCGTGGTAGGGGACCCAGGGAAGAAAAGTGAAGAGAGAGACAAAAATGCTTGCCAGGGACCAACTCTCTTTGTTCTAGTCTCCCTGTTCTCTCCTCGTTCTAGAAATAAGCGACTTATGTATTTGTGCTTCTAAATAATACCCATGCAGGTGAACAATAAATACAGAGTATCTGACTTCCCCACCCCATCTCATCCGCCCAGTTTTAGCTATTTGGATAGTAAGTGCCTTATTATGAAAAGGGACAGGACTTTATTCTTCCTGCATTTATAAAACGAGCATTCTTCAGTTCAAGAGGTTTTTCTCATAAGATCTCTAAGGGTAGAAGGCTAATTTACTCTTCATTAGAACAGACAGATCCGTAGAGCAAGGAACTTATCCACGATTGTTTCTCGGACTCTAAACCTTTGGATCGCCAAAGCTTGGCAGTACTGAGCCACCAGCCTGTGGGGAAAAGTTCTCATGCAAATGACCAGTTAGCACACATCGGAGGAAGCTTTTGAGGCCAGCTGGAAACTTCATCCACAGTCTGTGAGATATGTGAAAGCAGGAAAATATCTCACCACACTTAGGAAGCCAAGCATCTGTCAGAAAGCATGTTCATTTATTTCCTGAGTGTCTGAGTAAATCTCTCTCTGAGGCAAAGATAAATACAGGTAATGATATTTTTACTTATTTCTAAGAGTGCTTTAAGTCATATCCCCAAAGCTCTTTAATCAGTACATTGTATCATTACCAAACAGAATAAAAGCATGGTCAGTGTAAGAGGTTACTCGGAAATCTTAGTGGGAAACTCACTGGTTGTTCCCATCGGGAAGTTTGTCTGTCTCCAAAGTCATTCGAGTTGACTGGCTGCAAATAAGGATAAATTTTCCCACTGAAGAAAACCTAGTCTGGCCTGAAAATGTCTATATGACCAATAATATGCATTGCAGTTTTTAAAAAAAGAAGAATAGAATATGCGTGTACTGCCACGATCTAGGAATTACACTTCAGGCCACTTGGGAGAAACAGATGGATGGTCATTCGGTGACTCGCATGCTTGGATAGATGTGACATGAGTGCAAACTGCTGGCCCCACTCCCAGGGACTCTGGTTCTCACTCCAAAGTATGACCCAAGAATTTCCCTTTCTGATGAATTTACAGATTCTTCTTTCCTTGTTTCAAAGCTTGATTAGCAGAGGTAGAGTAGAGCATTAGTTTCTAGGGCTTGGGTGGAGAGGACATGGGAGATACTGGTCAAAGGGTACGAACTCCCAACCAGGTTTCGAGAAAGTTTTGGGATCTGATGCAAACAGAAGCACTCCAGTTAATAATGAAATATCATTACACTGGTTTGGGGTTTGTTTTTTTTGGGGGGGGAGGGTTAAAAAAATACGTATTTTTTAATTGAACCACAGTGAGATACATGGTGCTATTACACTCTTCAGTTGTTAAGAATACAACTATAGTGTTAGTGGGACAATAAGAATGGTAATCAGAGTAATAGAGACATTAAGTAGCCATAATGTGGCTGTTTATTAATAGCCATATTGCTCTATGAGGATATGATTTTCAAAATAATAACCACAATATTTCATCATATGTGTGCATGCTAAATCATCACCTTGTACACCATAAAATTCCATGTTATGTGTCAATCATTTAGCAGTGAAACTAGGGAATGAACGCAGGGAAAAATGACTCCGAGGAAGCTCTCCGAGCCTCATGTCCAAACCCCAGCACCCATGGTCCCAAGTACCAAGGTGGAAGTAGGTAGCCCAGGACCTGCTGAGTCTGGCAGAAAAAAAGATATTTTTAAACTAGAGAAAGGGGGAAAAAAGTCAAAAGTGGGGGAGGAGAGATTTTTAAGAGATACATACACATGTGCATGTGCTCACACACACACACACAACGGTGCCGCTTAACGGACTGGTTAAACTTCATCATAGGTATGCATATTAAATCATCACCTTGTGCATCATAAACCTCCATGTTACGTGTCAATAATATAGCAGTGAAATTGGGAAGAGGAGCAGGGGAAATGACTCGAAGGAAGCTTTCTATGTCTCACATTCAACCTTCAGGCTCCCTGATTCCCGTCACCCTTTGTTTTCTAGATCTCAGCTATGTATTCGTCGGTGAACAAACCTGGACAGCCAGGAAATAAATCAGGACCATCGCTTCAAGTGCCAGAGGCCACCTACAGTTCCATCGAGGGAGCCACCCAGAGATCTCCCTCTTCATGCAGTGATCTCTATGCCACTGTTAAAGACTTTGAGAAGATGCCCAGCAACAGCGTCAGCGTGATTTCCCCCCCTGGAAGACTAGGTGAGGAGCTAGAGCCCCACTACGAAGCCATCCACACTCTGAGTAGAGAAGAAGAAAAGGCCCCCCCGGAAGCCAACGGCCTCCAGAGCCTCTTCCCAAAGGAGAATGACTATGAGAGCATCGGGGACTTGCAGCAGTGCCGAGACGTCACCAGGCTCTAGCAGCCGGGCGGAGATGGCCAAACCCCACCGGGGAAGCCCTCTGTGGACGCTGCTCCCTCACCTGTCACCTGTCACCGATGCTGCTTTTACGACACAGAAGCAATCCGAGATGCCCGCCCTGTTGTCTTCCCGCTTTCAGAAACAGTGAGGTATGCGCCTGGCTGCAGCAGAGGGGACCCCCTGCCAAGCACATCCCTCCCCCCTCCTGCACCTCGACCTCCACAGGGGCCCTGACTGTCAGGGGTCTCACCCCACTTGCGAGGAAAGCCAAGGTGTGAGAAGGAACTGTGCCATCTCCACAGCTCCACGGAAAACTGCCACTCAGTTTCATTTCTCTCCTCTCTGTTTTCTTCTCTCTCTCTCTTCTTCTTTTTTTTTAAATGTAGGAGTACTGCTATTTATTCAGCCATTGATTAAGCTGATTGAATTGGGCATGAACTCCACATGACTCATGTATGTGGCTTTCCTCCCCTTAAAATCTTTCCTTTTTTTTTTATATATATATATATGTTTTCTTCCTTGGAAGCGTTTCCACCTGGCCTTTGCATTCCACAAAAAAAAAAAAAAAAAAAAAAAAAAAAAAGGTTTGGGGATGCTAAAAAATGCCACTGCTGGTAGCCCTTCTCCAGACTTTGTCAAAGCTGCACCTGTCAGCCCACGCCCTGCAGGAGGATAGGTTTGGGGACATCCCTCAAGTTTAGGTCATTCCTACTGATTTTTGGCATCCCCCCTGCACCCCATCAATCTCCTCTCCCAAAGTACTTGAAGTCATTTTCAGATGTTTTATTTTATTTTTCTAGTAAAAAAAATACTTTCCCCAGTCCCAGTATTTGAAACACTTCTGAGCCTTTTCAGTATTTTCATGAATATCGTGGTACTTCTTTACTTGTTTTAGCCCAGAGTTCATTCCTCCGGAGCAGAGAGCCTTAATCTCTATTTGGGGCACAGATCACATATTTTGACAGCCCCCTAGGTGTGGCCTCTGAAGGGCTGTGGACTTGAATGTGTGTTTCTGATGCCCCCTGTTTCCACACCCAGGGTGTGGGACTTTTGACATTAACTGCTACCCTAAGGTATTCTATCTAAGGTTGAAATGTAAGCATTTATTTTTATTATATAAATTTATAAGATGTTTTTATGTTTAATGCCTAATTTCTAGAAAGTGCCAGAAAATATATATATATTAACTATCCTGATTTTATGTGTAATGCTTTATACTCTTGTTTTTGAAACTATCATAAAGCACATAAGCTCAAGTTGTTATCTTTTTTCTCTAACTAAGTGTTTAAAACAGCAAAGGTTTTTAAAAGACTCTACTTTTGTAATGGTACTTGGGACTCCCAGCCAGAACTGCCCAGTTCCCTGGAGAAGTCAGTGGGAAAATAGAAATGATCCTTTTCAGTGGTTTATGTGGGCAATATTGAAATTTTTGGAGTGGCGAACAAAAATGGAAAGGAGAACAAAATATGACCAGGATGATTGCGAATCACAAATCTCATGGCAACATTATCATCCCATTAGTCTTGGTTGCACTTTTAAGAACACTGAGTGGTTCTGCAATCCGGCGTTTGCAAATGCAGATTGCCTATTGGGGATTTTTTTTTCCCCTTCATTTTACCAAAATCAGTAGCTGAAATAACTCAGACAGAGAGCTCAGCCAGGGCTGGATTTAATCATCTCTTTAGATATTACAAGGCCAGCGTTGAACAACTTGTTCACTTTTCATTTTAAAAGGAGCCAGGCTGAAGTGCTTTTATAAAACAGCCACTCCAGAGAGGGGCCTTTCTCTACCGCAAGGAAGGAAAAAGGAGGCAATTACTCTGTACCTCTGTGACATCTGTGTCTCTTCAGATTGCATAATCTCGCTGTTTTCCCTTCTTCTGAAAAGAATGCTCTTGGGAAGATGCAGCATCTTGAAAATCACACGGGCCACCTCCCTGGCATGTTTTGTCTCGCCCTTGTATCCGCGGCTCGGTTTGGTGATTACTCTGCTACACGTTTCTGAAATTGTAAAGCAGGCTATGTGGGGGCCCGCCGGTGGGTTGTCAGGTTTCAGTCGGTCTGTTCTCTGCTCTGAAAACGTCATGTGCAGAAGCAGGATCATCTTCGATTAGGAGATAATGGCAGAACACCATTTGATGAGAAAGAAAATGATGAGGAAAGCCTAAATTTCACATTCCTTGAATTCACATTCTTCTGAGTACGGTCTTGCCGGGTGATCTTTATTGCTTTTGTATTAATGCATTTGAACCAACTCTCTCTGTCATGGGGTTCCTGGCACAACTAGCTGTGTACCTGCTTGCTTCTGTCCTTTCTGGGAGCCTGACCAGTCCAGTTTTCAGGCATTTCCTAATGTCTGATCACCAAGGAAGTCGGCGTGGTTTCTAAAAGTGTCAAACCATTTCTAGAGAGAAGCTCATCGTCTATAATCCTTATTATCTTGCCATTTCCTGATTGGAATTCCCCACAGAAATTGTGAAAAAAAAATGTAGCCCTAAAACAGGTGAAATCTCTTTTTTGAATTGAGAACTAATGCTAAGAATAGGTTGTGCTTTCAAAGGAACTCTAAAGACGTCCCGTATATATATCCCAAAAAAAATAAGTGATAACCCGACCCAGGAGACTTGGAGGAGGAAGAAGTGGAACCAACTTTAGGAAATTTCTCTACTCTTTAACCCATCTGGTTTAAGACGTGAAGTGTGTTTGTTGCAGCGGCATCATACTTTTGACCTTAGGGTAGAATATCTAATACATTTTATCACTTTGATTTTGATGAGAATACATGCTAGCATTCTTGGTAAAGGTAAAAAGGTAAAGGCCCTCCCGTTGATCGTCGATTTGCTCGAGCGGGCCCAGTAACGTCTCCATTGGAGACTTTGTTGTTACTGTGTCTGGCATATCGAATACTCTCGGTAGCTTGCCGGGCTCTCCGAGAGGGGCGGAGGAATCGAACTCGGGTCGGCCATGTTGGCCGCTTGTAAGGCAAACGCCCTAACCGCTGTGCTATCGCTCCAGCCCAGCATTCTTGAGTTGGACCAAAATTGGAGGCTTCTTTTAAAATAAGGGCTGGAAAGACAGTACAGAGATTAAGGCATTTGCCCCACATGCAGCCAAACCCCATTTGGTTCCCAGTGTCACATGTCCCCGGGCACTACCAAGAGTGACCCCTGAGCACCTCTAGGTGCAGCCCAAATACCCTCCCATATTAAATAAATAGAATTTGCTTTTCATTATCTTTTATTCATTCTCCTTGAGGTAAATGTTACAGAGTTTAGATGCATGAATGATGATTACTATATCTTTACAACTCAACTTGAGGGCCAGAGAAGTAGTTCAGCAGTAAAGTGCTTGCTTTGCAGACACCTGACCTGGGTTCAATTCCTGGCACTCCATGGACCCCTGAGCCCACCAGGAGTAATCTCTGAGCACAGCCAGCTGCAACTCCCAAACAAAAAAGATTCTGCTTGGATATCCATAGGATCCATTTGACAACTCACAACCCAGTTTGTGTGAAATTAAAACAAAAGAGCAAAATAAGGTTTAGGAATTTTTATCTCATATGTCAGAATTATTTTCAGATAGTTTGAATAGTTAAAAGAAGTGTCAAGTGACAATATTTCATCAGATATGACAGCAGGAAAGTAATTCTGTACATTAAATGTTTCTGAACTTTCAAATTCTTAAAATAATTGTGACAAATATGTTGGCTACATAGAGTATTTTTGTCCTGCACTTAAATTATGTTATCAAGTCTGATGAAGGTTTTAAGCTACTGTTCTCTCTTTTGTGGATAAAAGACTAATGACTGATTTATCTACCCTTAGAATATGAGTTCATTCAAATTGAGTGCTAAATTGACAATATTCAACATAGAGAACTGAAACCTAGTCTTAGAATGTCACGATATTTCTCATATTTGTTTTTCACTTGCCTAGTTATTTGCTTATTTAAGCCAGTAATAAACTATATATATATGTATATATATATATACATATATATACACACATGTGTATATGTATGGATGGCTATGCACACATTTATATATGCGTGTGTAGTTATATATAAAATAATGCTATGGTGCTTAATTAATTAAAATATACCCTATTAATCCTCAGAAATCTATATCCTACTCATGTGATGAGTATTGTCACAAAAGCAGCATTAGAAGAAGCAGTTCTGCAATATTTTCTCTTGGTAACAAGAGAAAACCTCTTTAGTTGCTTAATTTTTCTGACTAATATGTTCATATCTTGTGTCCATAATCCTTCTGGCCAAAAACAGTGGTAGTTGAAATTAGTTTGGTTATACATAGGGCTCAGTATATGGTCAACCTGACAGGGGGAAATATGGAAAGGCGTTCTCAGGTTTCTGAGAGATTTTTCCAGAGGCAAAGAGATTTTTCCAGAAGCCTGGAGTGGGAATGGGACCTCAGCAGGGTGACCCCCGTGGTCTTAGAGCAGAGGCCCCGGGTTACACAGGGGCATCTTGTCTCATTCTCTTGAGGAACTGGAAGATTTCACCACAGAACCCACAGGAAGTGGTGTGATACGACCTGCTCTGAGGCGAAAATCACAGAGCTTCAGTTCAAGACTGAATTAGGGTTTTGTAAATGGGTAAATGAGATTTTTTTTTTCCGTGCTCCTTGTAATAGTTACTATGAGTCGTGTGATCAGTGCTGCCATTCTCTTCAAAGTGTTGATTTCCCATACGTGGCCAGCTTAGCCTTGGCTGTTGAAAGCACAGTAGTAGTACTGAGAGTTGTTCCCAGGAAATCTTGACAGGCTTATTATACAGTGTCATTGAGAAAAGTTGACATGTAATGTTTGGTGTTAATAAGTGACTTATGTGAAAATAGGAACACGTGTCTCTTAATATCAAAGATGGCATTATTTGCAGTGAAATCTAAACCTTGTCCTACAGTAGTGTTTTCTTGTTCTGTTTTGTACTTTAGTCCATTTCTCTTGATAGTGGCATTTGACAAGTTGAATACGCTTGGAATG